TGTCTGAATTGGCTGCATCAGTAAATAGCTGTGCAGCTAGACAACTCAGTTAATCTCTTACGCATCTTAATTTTCTCATCAGAAATAATGGCTAGAATAGTTTATAAATTAAATGAAGTGATAAATATGAAATGTCTGATATAGGGCTTGGCACATACTAAAAGCTTAAGATGACAATACTGTGCAAGATTAAACCTGACAAGATACACAAACAATTTAAGAACTCCTTACATGTGTAGTAGGTGTGCACAGTTCAGTAAGACCTCATGGACAAGAATGCATCTTCTGTGCTCAGTCACAATATCAAAGGTGGAACGAAAGATATGTGGCAGGACTATAAATTAACATACTCCTTTCGGAGAGCAATTTAGCAATATTTATCCAAATTAAAAATGTACATATCTGGTCGGGCTCGGTGGCTCAGCCTGTAATCCCAGCACTTTGGGAGGCCATGGTGAGTGAACTGCCTGAGCCCACGGATTCGAGACCTGCCTGGGCAACTTGGCGAGACCTCATCTCTACAATAAATCAAAAATTAGTGGGGCATGGTAGCGTGCACCTGTAGTCCCGGCTACTTGGAAGACTGAGGCAGAAGGATCACCTGAGACCAGCAGATAGAGGCTGCAGTGGCTGGGAGCGGCCACTGCAACCCAGTCTAGGTGACAGAATGAGACTTCAACTCAAAAAAAAAGTACATATCCTAAAATACAATTTAACCTAGTCCATAGAAATAGAGACTCACAGAGACAAGTCACAAAGGGTGTACATTAAAGCAGAGGTCCCTAAGCCCCAGGCCATGGACTTGTTAGATACCAGGCTGCACAGCAGAAGATAACCAGAGAGCAAGCTAAGCTTCACATGTCCTTACACCTACTCCTGTTACCACTGAGCTCCGCATCCTGTCAAATCAGCAGCAGTATTAGATTCTCATAGGAACGTGAACCCTATTGCGAACTGCACATGCGAGGAATCTAGGCTGCATGCTCCTTAGGAAAATCTAATGCCTGATGATCTGAGGTGGAGTTGAGGCAATGATGCTAGTGTTGAGCGGCAGCTGCCAATACAGATGAACACCGGCAGTGAGGTTTGACTGTGCATCCGCTCCCACCCCGGGGGAAAACTGTCTTCCAAGAAACTGGTCCCCGATGCCAAAAGAGTTGGAGACCGCTGCCTCAACGCACTGCTTCTAATAGTCAAACCCTGCACATAACTTAAATGACCACCAACAGAGGAACATGAAGCAGCCATTATAAAGAACATAACACATTTATATGTACTGACATTAGAACATATCTATAATTAAGGAGACTAGATATGCAGAACAATTTATAAACTATAATTCACACACTGGGGAAAAGGATCTGCAAAACCAGCTTTCTCGGAATCTTGAAAAACATTTTTGTAAATGCACTGAAGAATTTGGAAAGATACACAAACAGACCTTTCTGGTGGTTCTTTGGATTGAAAAATCAGCTTAAAAAATGAAAATAAGGCCAGGCGTGGTGGCTCACACCTGTAATACCAGCACTTTGGGAGGTGGAGGTGAGAGGACTGCCTGAGTCCAGGGGTTCGAGAGAAGCCTGGAGAACTTGGGGAGACCTCGTCTCTACAGTATATCAAACAAAGTTAGCTGGGCGTGGTGGTGAGTGCCTGTGGTTCCAGCTACTTGGAAGGCTGAGGTAGAAGGATCACCTGAGCCCAGCAGGTCAAGGCTGCAATGGTCATGAGTCCGTCACTGTACTCCAGTCTGGACAACAATGAGACTCAAAAAACAAGTATATGAAAATGAAGTTTTTGTAGTATATGTAACTGAAATTTTTTTTTCTTTGGGGTCTCACTCTGTTGCCCAGGCTGAAGTGCAGTGGCACGTTCATGGCCACCCCAGCATTGACCTGCTGGGCTCCAGCGATCCTTCTGCCTCAGCCTTTCAAGTAGCGGAAACTACAGACACGTGCTACCACGCCCAGCTAATTTTTTATTTATAGTAGAGATGAGGTCTTGCTAAGTTGCCCAGGCTGGTCTCAAACCCATGGGCTCAGGCAATCCTCTCACCTTGGTATCCCAAAGTGCTGGGATTACAGGCTGAGCCACCGAGCCCAGCTGTAATTCAATTTTTAAAAATTATACATCACTAACTGTAAAATTACATTAAAAAATTTTTATGGAAAAATATTAAATTTATATTTTGCAAACTTGCTTTATATTCATAAAAACAATCCAATAGTAGAGGATTTTTTAATGGTACATTCATGTATTAGACTACTATACAGCTACTAAAAATCATGCTGTAAGATAATTTTATTAAAATGGAAATCTTTCAATACAACAAGTGAAAAAAGTTACAATGTAGTTATGTGCAGTTTGATCAGCATGAGAAATTGTTTCTTTGCAGGATTGTGGGTATTTTTCCTCCTTTTTTCAATCTTTCCTCTCATTTATGCATTTTATTTACAAAAACTTTTCTACTTTGCTACAACGATTATGTAATTAAGGAAAATGTAATGATATAAAATTATTAAAATGCTATATGCTTATAGCAAACTCTAAGCTTGGACGTTAATGTAACCACGATGCTAACGACTGGTACAAATCTAAGAAATCCTTCAATGCATGTTTGGAAAGAGTTATAATGAAGTAAAAGGCACCATTTCCCAGGAACCTTAATAACAAAATGTTAAAGACACTACACTTTGTTTATCAAAAGAATTTATTAGAAAATATTACACACTACATATTTGTTTAAGAGTATTGTTTCAGTAGACAGCACTCCAACCTCATACTACAATGTCTCATGAATCCTGGGACAACCACTGTGTTTCTGAAGCTACAACCTTTCAGATGAAACATTCAAGCAGTATACACTGTGGCCATTTAAAGGAAAGTAATAGAGAAAATGTGGTAATTACAAAAAAACCCCACACAAAACGTTTGGAATGTTAAAATAATAGGTAACTATCATTAGTCTCAAAATTCAAGGCATTTCTATAGCCTAAAACATTGGTCAATGTGACTAGTAAGTTAAGGGGACAAAAGTTCCAAAGGTCAAGTCAATACTGAATCTTGATAAATAACAAGAGGAATCTAAAACCCCATAAAGTGTTTCTGATTAAGTTTATGCACATGCAAAATAAATGTGAACTTCTAAAAAAAGGGCCAAGAATGGGAATGTTAAACAGTGTATTTTGCAAAATAAAGCATGCATTTCCTAATATATTCTTAAATATAATAAAAATTTTAAAAGTTTGAATTCTAATCCAGTAACATTCTTTATTATTTTAAAAGCATCTAACCAGTGTCCCAATCAGATATGGAACACACACTTGTTATTTTCAAAAAAGATGGAAATAATTCATGAGAGTGCTACCAAAAACATGAGACTTTTACTCTTGACCACACCACTCAGTACTTCTCTAAGTTTTAAAACTTGTTTGCAAAAGCTAAATGGTATAAAGCAGATTTTAATATGTCACTCAATTCCCAAATGTTACTGAAAGAAAACGCAGAAAAGGTGTGTGATTAATCAGCTCAGGCACAGCAATTTTCTATAAAATTTTCAATGTGTGAAACAGGCTTAACTCATAATAGATTTTAAGTTCACACAACTGTCTCTAGAGTTCTAAACCAAAACAACTGAGGAGGTGTGCATTGGTATTTGAAACACTGTCCTAATATTTTATTAGAGGAAATAAGACTCCTTCTTTCCTCATCATAATCTAAACACAAACTTTAATTAAAAATATATGTCAGTAGAATACCTTTATTACAAATGCCCAGCAATGTAGAATGAAGATCAAAAACTGCTTGGAAATGTTTTTAGGATTACACTCATTACCTAATAAACTTTATGAACTAGCACAATTAATATGGGGGCCAACATTTCAAAATATTTTGCCTATCAAAGCTAGCACCAGGAAAAGTGTTATGCACATAAAACTGAGAAACAGATAATCTTTACTTTGAAAAGCACAGTCCTATAGAGTATTGCTCTTGCTAAATAGTTTAGCTAGTAAAAGGGACAGTTAATCTCATTGAGGCATGGATCTACCTTGGATCCATTAACATTTTATATGAATAGCTTTCCAGTTATTTGGCATCTACTGAAAATTGTTAGCTGGGCACAGTGGCTCACGCCTGTAATCCCAGCACTTTGGGAGGCCAAGGCGAGAGGATTGCCTGAGCCCAGGGATTCAAGACCAGCCTGGGCAAATTAATGAGACCTCACCTCTACAATAAAAAAAAAAAAAAAAAATCAGCCAGGCATAGTGGTGCCAGCCTGTGGTCCCAGCTACTTGGAAGGCTGAGGCGGAAGGATCGCCTGAGCCCAGCAGGTAGAGGCGGCATTGGCCATGAGCATGCCACTGCACTCCAGCCTGGGCAACAGAGTGAGACTCTGACTCAAAAAAAAAAGAAAAAGAAAAAAGAAAATTGTTACTGGAATGAAAGACAGTTAATCATGGAGAGAACTCACTGTTTTCTCAAGATGCCAATAAACACTTTAAACTTACCTTTTATAAAAACTAACTATATTCTAGTACTTAAAACAAAAACCAAATCCCTAAGTCCCTGAAAAAACCTAGACTCCATTATTTAATTTTCTCTTCCCTTTCTAAAACACAGGTTTTAACGTCTAGAATCTTGCAATATGGCTTAATGGCTACCACATGGACACCAAATTAACACTTTATTCATTGTAGAGCATTTGGGGATTTCTCAAGTGGGAAAAGAACTTCATCAGTGATTAGACAGATGAGTCTCAAAAGTTTTGCAATTCTATCTTAGTCCCAAGGAAAGGAGAGTCACAATTTAATGTAATTCTTCAGTTGGCACAAATAGTGTATCATCCTTGATGGATAGAAGGTATTATGAAAGAACAATGTCTACAAAGTCAACACTTTTTCCAACTTGGTCTTCTAAATTTAACATAAACTTTGAACTGCCAAGGTTGTAATCTAGCAAATCAAACTGCTTCATCTCAATTGGGGAAAAAAAAGGCACAAAAGAAAAACAAGCAGCATAACCTTTATTTGGTCATACAATAGGTGAAGAGTGTCTCATAGTTTTGAACACTAAATTTTACTCGTGATAATCTGTTTTCTAGCTAAGCAAGTTATTAAGATATGTGCTTTAAAAGTACACATTAGGAACCCTGCAATTGGCATGTTCTATTTAATATTAGAAATACTTTTCATGGTAATACATTATTTAACTTTCCATAATTAGAGGGAAAATCACAAAGATCATACTTTATTTTTTAGCCAGACAGAATAAATGCATTATATATCTCTCTTCCAAAACCAGCGCACTTATAAGCGTCTAGTGCCTGCATTCCACTGCTCTCATCAAAAAGCTGTACACCTTCCAGCATCCACACTCTAACACAGTCCCGGTAAAAATGCACGCTCTTTTCAATTCTTTACTTTCCCTTGAATTTGTTTTGGTGGGAGGATAGAAGGATATAGAAGTTGCAGTGCAGAACTATATTTATTTAGAACAAAACATTATATCCTATGTTAAAAAAAATAATTTTATCAAAACCAAATTTCAATCACAGTTATGCATGATTTTCAGTTAATGGTACATGTTGAAATTGCACTTTGCAGATATCTTGATAATGTCCTTTACAGTGCTCCCCATTTCAGCCTACGTTTTTTTCAGTGGACACAGGTTCTTCCAGAGTTTTCTTTTGGCTCCCCTTCCGTGAATATTTGTATTTGTCTACATAGGCTTTAACCAGATTTGCCACTTTAGTAGAATTTACTTCTCCACTCTTACTATGACAAACCTAAGAAAAAAAGGGGGGGAAAACTTTTTTCGTGCTTAAAGGAATCAAAGCAAAATGCAAAGCTCTGTGAAAACAAATAACCCCAAAGAGATAACTAGACTTATTTTTCATGTTTTCATACCTCATTCAAAAGGCAAAAAAAGCAGACAAAAATTACTAGGAGCTAGCTTCACTTTAATTAAACTTAAGTAATCCTTTATTAAAAGAGAGGCAGTTCAAAACAATATGCACATAACTCCACTAAAACTATAACTTACTTTATCTACCGCTTTCCGTACAATTTCTTTATATTCTTCCTTGGTGATATCTTTATTTTGGTAAAATGGCTTAATGGCCAATTTTACCTCTTGTGCTGCTTTTTCTTGAATTTGCAATTTCTGATGAGAAGAAAATGTATAATTATTATTTGCCAATCAGATACTTTCAAAAACTTAAAATATAAAATTAAAAATACCACACATTTACAATATTACAAGAAACTCTTATATGACAAATACAAATTCATCATTTATTTATATATCAAACATTTCTAAAAACAATTATGAAATATTATTAGTAATTCACTGGGTATCAATATATCTATATAGAACTCTTGAAATATTACAATGCCCATAATAAATTCCCCTCACTCATACAATAGACAGCTGAAATTTTTCATCTTTATCACAATACAGAATTAGGTAGGTTGCTCTCAACCTTGGACTTGCCTTGTCTGTCTTCGAGCTATCTGCGCTGGCTTCCACTGTAACACTTACTTTGCTTTCTGCCAATTTTACAGCAGCATTAGAGGCTTTGCTGTGACTTGATGACGAAGTATTACCAGAACTTGGTCCCTGAACCGTTCCCATATTTCCTGGGGTTGCTGTCGGAGCAGGCAAGCCTGGAGTACTCATGGTATTACTTACATGAGAAGAACTAGGAATACCCTGTTTCAGAGAGTTAGTATCAGTTAATGACTTGTACTCGATAAAAGTCTTCTAGACACATGTTAGAAATAACATTGAAATACACAAATCAAATCAACTTTAAAACTTAAGAGAAATACATTATTTCAGATCATTTATATCTAAAAAGGCTCTTTGAAGAAAACTGAATAACATTCTTAAACAGAGCCTTATTTACATATGTGAAGATGACTTCATAATTATATATGGGTATTGTAAGGCTCTGACAGCAACACTAAAAACAAAAAGGAGAATAGCAGTTAAACTGTATCTTTCCTGTAAAGCTCTTTAGGAATATTAACTAAAGTCCCTCACTCTAGAGATTGGGGAAAATGAGGTAGTAAAGTCAAAAGGCTTCAGTGAATTGATAGCAGAAAAAGACGTAAGATCCGAAATTCTAAAATCTCATTTGTCTACTCTTCCAACTGTATCTTACTGTCAGGATTCTAAAATTTTTGAAAGGCAGCTATACAATTGTAAGCAGCACAATGCTTGAAAATTACTCAAATTGTTTAGGTCTCGTAGAGGCACTTCTTTTTAGCATGGTAAATTCTTGAAAATGGAACACAGATAATGAGCAGTTTTATCTAGTGTTTGTCTGAACAAGACAATACAAGCTTCAACATGAGGCTTTTTTCTGAGTCAGAGTCTCACTCTGTCACCCAGGAGTGCAGTGGCACACTCACGGTCACTGAAACCTTGACCTGCTGGGCTCTGGCGATCCTTCCGCCTCAGCCTTCCAAGTAGCTGAAACTACAGGCATGCCACCACATCCAGCTAATTTTTTGATTTGTTGTAGAGACGAGGGCTCACCAAGTTGCCCGGGCTGGTCTCGAACCTCTAGGCCCAGGCAATCCTCTCACCTCAGCCTCCCAAAGTGCTGGGATTATAGGCTTCAGCCACTGCACCTGGCCTTCATCATGTTTCTTAATCACTAGTTCCCACTCCCATTACTCACCCCCCCACAAAAGTCCAATAAAACAAGGAAAAATTTTAAAGTGCCCCACTACTTGATTCAAATTTGGCTCATAATTTGGTCTTCTTAATTTGACAGCAAACCTGTTTCAATATAAACGATGGCATACATATAGCTTGGATTTGGTAATTATGTATTTAATTAATGTATTTAATTAATTTTCTTATGTGGGAGTTGGGGGGCTTGGAGGAGGATGGTAAAAGAGATTATGAAGGTAAAAGAGATTATGAAGGTAAAATTATGAAGGTAAAAGAGATTATGAAGGTAATCAAATAAAATATTGTTTATGGATGCCAGGATGCCCTTCCTTGAACATGTCCCTAATAGCTAAATGCTTACAATGGCCATGTTGATTAAACTTCAGTTGCTAAAAACATACCTGCAATTGTTTTCCATCTGGTTGTGGAGCAATGTAGCTGATTTGCTGAGATGGTGGGGGAGGAGGTGGTGGTGGTGGTAGTCCCTGAGATACACCAGTAGGAGCAGCTACCTGCATGAGAGGCACTCCTGTGTGGAGATGCAAGGGCAGCTGAGGATGAATGTTAAATGGACTGCGCTGGATGTTCATCAAAGGAGCATGAACACCCACTGGATATGGGAAGATATTCATAGGCTGGTGTTGTGCACTCATTTGTTGTTGCATTACATTCATTTGTGGTTGCATCATGTTTATAGGTAGCTGAGAACCATCAACTTGTTGGTTTGTTTGGTCTTTTAGGTTAGGATCTATCAAAAGAAAAAATGTTTTGTGAAAACAATCATGTTACAAATCTCTTTAGACAGAGAAGCAAAGAACTCCCGATTATAGTTAAGATATAAATAGCAATTAGTACTCAGTACAACAAACCAATCTCTAATTATTTAGTTTAATCCTATCATTTCTAATAATGTGGACTGGTTTTCTACTTAAGGTAAACATTCAACTAATATTATCATTATTTTTTGAGTCACAGTCTCATTCTGTAGCCCAGGCTGGAATGCAGTGGCATGATCATGGCTAACCACAGCCTTGACCTCCAGGGTTCAGGTGATCCTTCTGCCTCAGGCTCCTGAGTAGCTGGGATTACAGGTGTGTGCCACCACACCTAGATAATTTTTTGATTTTTTGTAGAGATGAGGTCTCGCTATATTATATTGCCTAGGTTGGTTTTGAACTTCTGGGCTCAATCCTCCCACCTTGGCCTCCAAAGTACTGGAATTACAGGTGTGAGCCAAATTATTTTTAAGAATAAGTTCATGCAATAACATATGTCAACATTAACAAAGAATCAGTAGAAGCTCAAGAAACTAACTTTAAAAAATAATCATATAAAACTTAGTTACTAAATTACAAGTAAAGTTAATCAATTCTTATATCCTCAATAGCTTTTTTCTTGCAACGTTCTTAACAAGAAAAACCAAGGACAAATATTATCATAACAATAACTTATTAGTATGAGAACAATGACTTAAAAAAAATGCACATCTGAAATAAATGAAACAGAAGTTAAATCCCGCCTAGGAACATCCCAAAGTCTTCTATTGTAATATACAGTACATAAAACATTTAAGTCTTTGGCATGGTTTAGAGCAGAGGTGGGGTTAAAAAAAATTATATATGTATATATACTGATGTATATAAATGCGTTATATATGTTTATATAATGAAGTGACATAAACAACTAGGGTTCAATTTAACATAAAAACTACAAATAAGGATCACTTCAATTCATATAAATATTAAATTCATAACCTTGTTCTTCAAATAAAGCAGCATCAATAAACAGAACATGTTACCCTGTTCAGATGTTTCTTCTTCTTGTCTCATCCATCCAGACTGTGGACCTGAAGAATTCCTCCCTCGTCTTGAGTAATAGTTTTGTACATCTGCTGGCAGAGTTTTTCTTACAGCCCAGCTAGATGCAGATGTCCACCCAGATCTGTCTGCTGGTGTGTCGAATGAGAACTCTTGCTCATTTTTCCGCTTATAGGGTTGCTGTTCCACAAACTTGAAAGAGTCATTCCCTGAACTATTTGAATTCCCTGAGAGGGGTTTTCGGTTTTGCCATCTATTTTCATTCTGATCTGTATAGGCAAAACTACCTCTGTAAGTGCCTCTGCCACGGTTACCTCTACCACGGTTAGACATCCAACCAGAACTAAAGTTTTTATTCCAAGAGTTCCCTGAATTTTCATTTCTATTTTCTTCCCAATGAGACTCTTTCAATTTTTCTGGATTTCTGGTCCTTGGATCAGGCCCAGAATTTATTTTTTCTGTTACCCAATTGGGACAGTCATTTCTTTGTTTGTCAGTAGAGTTTGAATCATCAGCATCTAGACTGATGTCATTTTTTTCTTTTCTTGTATTTTCATTCTGTTTCTTTGGGTCATTCTTTCTGTATCGATCATTTCCTCGTGGACATCTCCAACCATCATTTGTCCATCTTTCCTTCCACCGAGGAGAGTAACTCTCTCTGTCGTTTCTACCAAACGATGAATTCTTGCCTTTTGTTCTAGATCTTGAGGGTGACCTAGAACGAGATCTGGATCTAGACCATCTTCTGGTTCTCCTTTCTCTTTCTCGATCTCTCCTTTGCCCATCTCTATCACTTTCTCTTTCTCCGCTCTGGGATCTGGATTTTTCTCTTGGGGAGGAATCTTTCACTCTTGACTGAGACTGTCTGTTCTCTCTAGAAGTATCTCTTCTTGGGGATGGTGATTCAGATCTTTTACCTTCCCTGGTACTATCTCTTTTTGGAGACCGAGACTGAGATCGCCGCTTTTCTCTTGCAATATCCTTTTTTGGGGACTGAGAACGAGATTTTTTCCGTCCTCTGGTAGATTCTTTCTTAGGAGATGGCGATTGAGACTTCCTGCTCTCTTTTCCAGTTTCTCTTTTGGGAGATGGAGACTGGGACCGCTTCTTTTCTTGTGCGGTGTCTTTGCTGGGAGACCAAGTTGTAGATGGGGAATGAAATCTGGATCTTCGAGTACGAGGCTTTTTGGCTTTATCTACTGTATCTATTAAGTTTTCAGATGGTTGAGATACAGTTTCATCCTTTTCCTTTGCAGTATCAGAAGATGATGACATATTATTTTCAGAACTGTGTGCTACAGAATTTTCATTCAATTGTTTACAATCAGCATTTACAGATGGTTCAATTTCAGATTCATTTTGGTCACTGCAAAATGAATCACATTCCATAGGTATCATTTCATTGTTGTCCTCACTAAAATGCTTCTGAATCTGTTCAGTGTGTGCTTTAGGTAACTCTGTAGATTTGGGATCTTTAATCAGAGACTCACTCTTTCCTTCTAGAGATATGTCCAAACTGGTGTCAAGATTATTGTTTAATAAATTATTTTCAGAGTCTTGAATAGTACTGACATTTTCATTCTCAGAAGTATCACATGTTGCAATTATTTCTACATCTTCGGATTCAGTATGCCCAAGCAACTGAACCTCGGCACTCTCAACAGATTTTATGTCCACTGTTTGTATAATTTCACTCTCAGAAGATTCTAATGTGGGGCTCTCTAACAGCTCTTTTTTTACTGTAGAATCTTTATGATCAAAAATTTCTACTACAGGACTCTCTATCGTTTTTTCTTCATTAACAACGGACTCTGCATTCTCAGATAACTCACCTAGAGGACTAGATACAGATTGGTGTACTTCACTTTCAGATACTGAACATGTAAGAAAATTACTTGGGGTATGATCTGTACCTCTATCTGCCTTTGCCTCTGATTCTGAAGATCCGGACATCTGGTCTTGATTTTCCAATGGATCACCTCCTTTTTCAAAAATATTTTTAGAAATATCACTTTCCAAACACAAAACTTTGGCCTCTGTATCTGTATTCTCAATTGTTTGAATTTCTTCTTCCTCTCCAACGAGCACAGGAGGGTCTTGAGTACAAGACTCAGAATATGAAGATTCTACTCTTTCTTCTGTATCATGATTCTCAATGTGTTTCTCACTTTCTTCTATCTGTTCACTGCAACTTTTCAAGCAATTAGTAGACTGGTTTTCTACATTTGTCTGCACAGTACAAGTGTTACTACTTTCTACATCTGATTGACGCTCTTCTTCTATCACAGGTAATGTGTCAGATTCTACTGTTTCTTCATCTACTGAATCACTGGAAGGTGATTTTTCAGGGGGAAGTTCAGAGCTCCGAAGTTTCTTTTTCAATAAAGGTGCTTTTCTTCCTCTTCTCACAGACTTCCGTTTTGGAGCCTGTCTTGTTTGCTTTTCTGACTCAGCTGAAGAGGAAACACTCATAGATGGATTATTGTTACCTGGGGCATCACACCCAGAATTATTTGATATTGGGGATCTCTGAGACTGACTGACTGTTTCAGCTCTCAAGTTACGTGTAGATCTCCTTGTAGGAGTTGTTGCTGCAGATTTTCGTCTTGATCCTCTGGTATTTGATGTACCAGAAGTTTGCTTCTTTTCTTCTCCTTCTTGGGTATGTGCTAATGCATATCCCTTGCAAGAAGTACCTAATTATTAAAAAAAAAAAAAAGTAAAAACTATGTGTTTAAAAATATAATATTAGTTTGGCTTTAGCTATTTTAGCATAAAATAGAATCTATAATAAAGTGAAACAAAATACTTATGAGTCAAATTACGAATAAATGCAGTTACGAACATCCAAGTAATATGAGTATGTATTAGCTTTTCTCAGTGACATTAAAGCAAGTTATAACCAGATTTGGTCCATGTAGGCTTTTTTTTTTTGAGTCAGAGTCTCGCTCTGTCACCCATGCTGGAATGCAGTAGCATGATCACAGCCACCACAGCCTCAACCTGCTAGGCTCAGACAATCCTTCCACCTCAGCCTTCCAAGTAGCTGGAACTACAGTTGTGTGCACTACCACGCCCAGCTAATTTTCTGATTTATTGTAGAGATGAGGTATCGCCACATTGCCCAGGCTGATCTTAAACCCTAGGCTCACGCAATCTTCTTGCCTCGGCCTCCCAAAGTGCTGGGATTATAGGCATGAGTGACCACGCCTGACCCATGAAGGCAATTTTATAGAGAAAAAAAGGAAAATAATTCTTGTTCTGATAACTACTATTTGTTTTAAGAAACTGGTATTAATTAGGCAAAAGGAAAGAGAAAACTGTCAAGCTATCCATGAATTAATAAAGACTCAAATTATTTGTTCATAATGAATTACCAGATGTTACCTCTAAAGGTCTATGGTTTGGACACTAAAGCTCTAAACAGAAAAGAGACTTCTAATTACCTCAAAGCCTCCAAGTTGTAATTTATTAAAATTGCAAAGCAGATTTTCTAGGTAGAGCAATTTTTTTAAATTGACCTATAAAATTGTATGTATTTACTGCACATAACAAATGTTTTGTAGAATGAAGAATGTCCAAATCTAGTTAACTGCAGAATGACCAATCTAGCTAATTAACATACGCACTACCCATAGTTAATATTTTGTAGTGAGAACACTTTACATTCACTCTTAATGATTTTCAATAATACAATATAGTTGACTCCTGAACAACACAGGGGTTGGGGTACCAACTTTCCACACAGTCGAAAATCACCATATAACTGTTGACTCACCCAAAACATTACTGTTGAACAGAGAGCTTTACCAATAACATAAACAGGGCAATACATATTTTTAATGTTGTATATATTACATACTGTATTCTTACAACAATGTAAGCTAGAGTAAAAAGATGTTTTTAAGAAAATCATGAGAGAAAATACATTTACAGTATTGTACTATATTCATTGATACAGAAAGTTTATATCATCTGTTTACAAGATGAATTGTCTGTCTGAAATAGCAGGCAACTACAGCTGTAGACCTCAATCTAAAGTACATATCAAACAACTCAACTTTTCTTGTAATGTCATGACTTTTCTCTGATTCTTGGGAGCACCTGTAGCATCACTAGTAGTACTTCATACAGGCTCATGGCATTATTCAAGGTTTACAGTATTGTACTAAACACAATGAAAACTACAAGAGAGCCACAAGAGATCATTTTTTACTGTGATACACAGATTAGAGAGAAAAACTGCACATGCAGCGATGACTAGTGTCACATCAAGTTTTAAGCAGATACTCACAACATTTGAGCTCACAATAGCAACAGGAATTTGCCACAAAATTATTACAGTAGTATAGTATGTACTGTAGTTAATTTAATGCAGTTATTTTAATACTGCATCTTTACATTTACTTATATTTCTCTCAACTGCAAATGGGACCATATATAGTCTAGAGATGTCTATGTCATATGTTTGATACATCTTAACTTTTTATAATAAACGTGTGCATTTTATGGACACAAATGATAAAAAGACTAGTATCTATATATATGTTATACACTTATGACATACCATTTTCTTAATTTTTTCCATATTTATAGTCTATGCAGTTGGTCTGCAAGTTTTCAAATTGTCACAAGTCTCCAAAAAATGTTCTAATATATTTATTCTTTAAAATTCCATATATAAGTGGACCCACACAGTTCAAACTGGTTTTGCTCAAAGGTCAACTACATTATTAACTATAGTCACCATGATGTACAATAGAGCTCTTAAATTTATTCTTCTCATCTAACTAAAATTTTGTATCTTTTGACCAACATTTCCCCAAGCCCTCACAACCACCAACCACCTCAGTCCCTAGTAACCACTACTCTACATTCTGGTTCTATGAGATCAACTTTTTTAGATGTCACATGAGTAAGGTCATGTGGTTCTTGTCTTTCTGTGCCTGGCTTGCTCACTTAGCATAATGTTCTCCAGGTGCATTCATGTTGTTGCAAATGACAGGATTTCCTTTTTTTTTAAACGACCACTGTGTATATAGATATACATACAGCCTAGCTGAAACAATTTTAAAGTAAAGTCACTGTCTAAATATTTATAGAAATAATTATGAGTTACTATACCTTACTAAGTCAACACTCATTGTTATGAAATTAAAAGAAACTAATAATATTTTTTAAAATAGAAAATCATTTCACAAACATTACCAAAGTTTTCTAGAGATATGGTACTTGTTGGAAAAATAGTTCTTGGCAACATAGAAGAAATAAGAGGAAGGACTTCTGTTTCAATATTCCAGGGTATAAAGCCAATTCTGAAAATTCAAAAAAAAAAAAAAATTTGTTTAAATGGTTTAAAAATTAAACCAACAATATAAAATTATTAATTCTTTAAATTGATTAGCAATATTCAAATATAGTACTTAAACTGTTTTTTCCCCAATAACTAAAAATGTAAATTCAAGGTTACTCCTTGTCTAAAGATGAATATCAAATGGCAACAAGGAAAAATAATCTTTAATAGAATGTTTTTCTTATAAATTAATGGCAAAAGGAGATGAAAGCAACTTAATACAGATCTTTTGCGTCTAAATAATTTAACGCAATATTTTGTCAAGAAATGTAGCTTTTATTCTTTCCTTCACCACTCTAAAGAAGACTACTTTGAGGTATAATCAACATGAAATAAAATGCAGACTTTAAGCATACAATTTGATGATTTTTGCACGCGCCTGTGTGTGTGTGTGTGTGTGTGTGTGTGTGTGTGTATGTGTGTGTATCTGTATAACTACCACCCCAATAAAGAAATAACATATTCACCTCCCCAGAGAGTGCCCTCATGCTTCTTTGTACCCTTCTCTTCTTCTTTCCAGACAACTAATGAACTGATTTCTACCACTATATTATATTCTAAAATTATTTTATCTGAGAAGGATGGTTAAAGTTCCCAGTGCTCCTAGGTACTTGTTAAGACTCCCCAAATTTTCTGCATTCAAACTCAACCTATTTCTCAGCTTTTGAAAATTTACCTTTGCTCAACATAGGTATTTTAAAAAAATGCCTATCTGATACAATATAAGGTGAGATTCTAGGGTAGAAGAGATGCTTGGGGAAAAAAATGCAATCTCTACATGTACAAAAATATGTAAGAAAGGGCTTTACAATATATATATCGGAACTTTGTAATTTTACTTGTTCCATTGTCATTCTTATAGGGTGAAGACTCTCTACAGAACTATATTATAGTGACATAAAAAATATATCCAGCCAAGCATAGTGGCTTGTGCCTATCTGTAGTCCCAGTTACTCAGAAGGCCTAGGTGGAAGAATCACTTAAGCACAGGAGGTCGAGGCTATAGTAAGCTGTGATCATGCCACTACACTCCAGCCTGGGCAACAGAGCGATATATTTATATAGATATTACATATACAAAAATACGCAATATATAATAAAATAAAATAGCCATGTTATAGGAATGAATATAAAACTCAGACACACACCCTGATATTTACTTAGATATGGGGCTTCAGTGTGTCTTTCCTACCTAACACTATCTCAGCCACTTCAAGACTAAACTAAGAAAGGACTGGATAATAAAGGTCATGAATGCCAGGACAGAATAGGCACTTAACCAAAGAGCTATTTAGATGAACATTTTTGAGAAGGGAAACAGGATAAAAGTTGTGTTTTAACTGACAGCACAAACTGGAATGGGGAGTAGAGAAAGCATGACAGGCTTGAATACTATCACTAATAACAAATCTTCATATTCAAGTATTCTCCCTTTTAAATAAATCTAGCATATAAATATCTACACTTATTAAACAGATAAATTAAGGATTCTTTATTTTCCAAGGGGTCCTTTTTATAGTAATCTTTGTTAGGCATCTGAAACACCAAAGTTTAATTTGTACAAAACTTCCTCAGGAAGATAACTATCTGGTAAGGTACCTCGTAGTACGTTAAGTAAATAATGATATCTTGTGTTTGTGTGAGCATGTAAACACTTTAGTAAACTTTTTTTTTTTTTACCTTCCAATTCCAGGAAACATATCAGGAAACCATGACAATTCCAGTTCCTGTCTCTTCTGCCTAATCAATGCACTGATTTCATTGACTTCTATAAATTCTGTACTAAAAGATAAATTTTCACACTTTCATCAGAATTTCAAAATTTTAAGTCCAAAGAAACAATTGGATTACATCAAGGATAGCAGTTTTTCTATGTAGCATTATGAATCACACTTATAAGAATGAGAACTTGTTTCTACTATGTCAACACTTTCAAAATAAACTCATTCCTAAAATTAAATAAAATTTTTATATTAAAAATTAGATTTATCTTTGTTTGACTCCTAAGAATTCTTGAACTTCTATTTTAAGTGGCAGAATTATTTTTAAAAAGTCAATTCAGCTGGGCATGGTGGCTCAAGCCTGTAATCCCAGCACTTTGGGAGGCAGAGGAGAGAGGATTGCCTGAGCTCAGGGTTTCAAGACCAGCCTGGGCAACTTGGTGAGACCTCGTCTCTACAATAAAATCAAAACATAAGCTGAGCGTGGCAGTGCGTGCCTGTGGTTGCAGCTACTTGGAAGGCTAAGGAGAAAGGATTGCCTGAGCCCAGCAGGTCGAGGCTGCAATGGCCATGAGTGTGCCATTGCACTCCAGCCTGGGTGACAGAGTAAGACTAGTTAACTTAAAACAAAAAAAGAAAAAAGAAAAGAAAGTCAATTCAGGCTAATATCCTTATTATTGAAATAAAGAAATTCTAGGTGTAATAGTTTCCTACTTGAAACTTAGCCTAAGATAAAATAAGAAAATAAGCCGGGCTCGGTGGCTCAGCCTGTAATCCCACGCCTTTGGGAGGCTGAGGTGAGTGGATTGCCTGAGCCCGCGGGTTCGAGACCCGCCTGGGCAGCGAGACCTCATCTCTACAATAAATCAAAAAATCAGCCGGGCGTGGTAGCGCATGCCTGTAATTCCGGCTACTGGGAAGGCTGAGGTGGAAGGATCGCCGGAGCCCAGTAGGTCGAGGTTGCGGTGACCGGGAGCAGCCACTGAACTCCAGTCTGGGCGACAGAGTGAGACTCCAACTCAAAAAAATAAAAATAAAAGAGATAATTAAACCATGAGGCATAATAAAAATATTATAAAAAAAAAAAAATAAGAAAATAAAGGAGGGTAGGTTACTGCATAATGTGGCTTTTCAAAAGGCTACTTGGACATAACTATTTTCCTTAATACCTTGCCCAGCATTAAAATTAAATCACACAATCTTATTCTGTGTTGTTAGTTCAACTAGCTGTATGCGATTTTTAAACCCCAAATGAATCTTCAAATATCAAGTAGATACATGCCAGTCACTAGGATTCAAAGGTGATGGCCCCTGTCCTCAAAGAGTTCTGTTGTATTAGGTGCCACTCTCACAATATAACAAAGTTCATTTCTCTATCATCTAAAAAACTTGCATGGAACAACCTAAAGTCTACTGGCACAGGCAGTTGCTGCACAATAGAGAAGCTCACAAAATAACGTTTTCTCTGCACTAGAACTAGTTTACTTTAAAGAAACAAAAACAAAAAATAAGGTGGGACTTTCATAATTTTTATTGAGCCCAGAGTTTAAATTTCCACAAAAAGTTGATTATAATAGATAGAACATCAAGTATAAACAGCATAAATAAAAGTAGAAAATACTAACCAATAAGATCTGTAGGTAAAAGAAGATTCTCCAGTGTGACTACTAGAAGAAAATACATTGGAGAAAAAATTTCTGAAGCACTGAGCTGTACACTGATTTGATCTTCGAGGCTAGAAAAATAAATAGTTAGTGAAACAGCAAATAAAAAACCTCTATAACAGGCACATAAAATATTATAATATTTTTATATACCTGAGGCACTAGAGTTATGTACTAAATAACCATAAAGTGTTATTATCTAAGAAAAAGATTTTCCTTTATTTCAACAAACCTTATTTATCTTTATTGCTGCACTCTTCTTTCCTTCTGTTTTACTGTATGAAGAGTTTCCTGTACAAAGAAATAATAGCAGTTGGTTACCTTCTCTTAAATCGTATTTAAAAGGCTGTAAGCCAGCACTGATACTAGCATATTGGCAATGGTTAAACTATGTAGAAAAGTTACATTTCAAATAATAACATGTGCATCTACACTACTCTCCCAAATGCTAATTTCATCTTATCTTGTCAAGCTACAGATATAAGCAAAATATTAATACAAAAAGCCATAATAGGCCAGGTGCAATGGCTCATGGCTGTAATTCCAGCAATTTGAGAGGCTGAGGCAGGAGGATCATTTGAGGCCAGGAGTTCAAAACCAGCCTGGGGAATTAAAAAAACAAAACAAAACATAGAGAGAGAGAGCCAGGTGTGGTGGCGAGCACCTGTAGCCCCAGCTATTCAGCAGGCTGAGGCAGGAAGATCGCTTGAGTACAGGATTTTGAGGCTGCAGTGAGCTAGGATCACATCACTGCACTCCAGCCTGGGTGACAGCGAAAGTCTGTCTCAAAACTAGAAAAGGAGCGGAGGGTACAATAGAGAAAACTGGTGAAGTATGTAAAATTGCTATACTCAAAGCACATGAGTATTAAAATTCTAGTCAACAATTTCTGCCACCCTATGAAAACTTTTTATCTTGTAACAAAAAGTATATATAAGAAGCCAAGATCTTTAATATAAATAATGCACTTAAAATCTCTTTTCCAGATATTATCTATAAAGCAGGTACTTATCTCAAGTAAGGGCTAGACAGGGGTTGGGCCATCAGCTCTTGTCAATCATAAATGACAATTTAGCCACTGGCGCCCACTTCAAGTAAGCAGTCTCCTTCTTCCTTAAAACTTTATAATTAGAAGGAAGAGTAGAAGGTGCTGATTGAAACAGCTTTCTATTATAACGGTGTTGTTGGCTGCTTTGCTTATGACTTGTCCACAGTGTAAATGACAACTGCTTTTTAACCTTCAGCCGTGCTTGCCTCACAAAGGGTCTACTGACATTGTTCAAAATAAATCATGCTGACTAATTAGGAGGCCTGTTTGCTGCATTGCAAGATCATATGTACTTGGTTTTCTTCTGTTTGTCCAGTTGATAATAGCTTACTTTCAACTTAATAGCATACTAATTTCCTTTTAAGTTATATACAACAACTGTTCGATTTTAATGCTTTTATCCATCTTTCACACAAATCTCACTCAGACAGTTGCAATAAATGTAATTTCAACGTTGGGAGCAAAGGAGTGGGATGAGCTCCATGAACTTACTGCCTTAGCCCTTGATATATATCTAAAAGATGATATACTGATTTTTAAAATTGCTTAAGAAGCCAGAAGTAAAAATGTGTGGTGGGTACACAGCTACATTCTAAGAAATAACCACTATTTTCCTTCAGCTAGACTAGAATTGCTGTGTTATAGCAACACAGTGTCTTTCATGCCCTAGGGGTGCTGAGTTGTTTTGATTCAAGTTTCATTCACTCAATACTTAACAAGTATATACTGTTAACATAGTTTTCTTTTACTTGGAAGCCTGTTTCAGAAAGCCATCATTAGACAAAATGCTCTCTATGGAAAGAACTGTTAGTTTTTTGGTCAATGTTAAGTGTGAAAATCTAGTCCAAAAGCTACTTCACCTATTTCTGGCAAATTCTCAGATAATTACTGAGTGGCTTCAATCTCTGAAGTATTCAATACTGGTGAATCTGCCTAAATTATGGTTTCCTGGAGATGGTTGCACAAATCTCCTTAATTGTCATTGGTCAGAGGTAATATGCTCTTTTCATTTAATTCTTATCAAAGTAATACATGTACATACTTTAAGAAATCAAACAGTACTACTAGGTTTATAAAGAAAAACTAAAAAATACCCACTTTTGATTTCTGCTTCGCAAAAATCACCCATAAAATCTTTTGGTTGTTTCTTCTAATATTTACCTCTTTATTTCTAAATAATATTCTTATACTCCTTTACCTTAAGCCTTTTGATTTCGGGTATTTTCTAGTTTTTTTTTTGTTTTTTTTTTTACTAAGGAAGATAAAGATCTTTCTCTTTATGCCATTTACCCTTCTATCTCTTTTTCTGCCTTCACTGTCTAGATTGTCCTTTTGGATATATCAATATATCAACATTTGATATAGCAGTAGGCAGTATTACTTTATTATAACTATATAAACATTGATCACAGCTGAACCACATACTGAATTATGATTACTCTTCTGTACAGCTTCTTGCTTTTCCTAGGGTTAATAATGGCTTTTCCCCCTTTACCTTTTTTCCTGTATTACCTACCATTAATTCAGCTAACTCAACAAGAAAAGTCCACATTTCCTCTTATTATACTCGAACATCACTCATCCATCAAATCTGTTCCCCAGCCTCTTGGAAATACTCTTCCTTTGTCCTACTCCAATATGAACTGGCCACTCTCAAAGCTGCTGTTTTAGCAGTCATTCTGGGACGGTCCTTTGTCATCATCTTGATAATCATCTCTATTTTTTTCTGTGTTGAAACTCATTTTCTGAATCGCTTATTGTTTCTTTGTTTACTATCTAATTTAGTGAAGTAATACATCCTCCAGTCAAAATGAGAAAGGGTGGGAAACAATTTTTTTGAGCTGTTATGTGTTAGAGAATGTCTATTCTAATTCTTGGCAAGGCACAGAATTTCCCAGGTTAGTAATTATGCCCCCTAGAATTTTCAAGGCATTGCTCCACTGCTTCAACTATTGCTGACATTCTCTAGTCCCTGATCTTTTATATGTGACCTGTTTTTTCTCTCTAGAAGCTCTAGATTCTTGTTATCCTCAGATTTCTATAATTTTATGGAGTTCTTGACATAGTTCTTTCCTCATTTACTAGGTATTATTTCTTTATATATAAACACCCATGCTGTACTATTCTGGGAAATTTCCCTTTGCATTAACTTTTTAAAAATATAACTTTCTGCCTTTTGTTTTATTTTTCCTTTCTGAAACTTTATTATTCAGCATTTAATCTTGGGTAAATATTCTATTATTCTATCTTTTCTTTGACTTTCAGAGACTTCTCAACTTATCTTCTACTCCTGCTGAATTTTAAAATTGCTGCTGTAGCATTTTCTCTTAGCTTTAATGTTATACATTTGTTTATTTTAGAACAGGGTCTCACGCTGCTGCCCAGGCTGGAGTTTGGTGGTATGATTACATTACTCACTGTAACCTCTAACTCCTAGGCTCAAGCGATGCTACTATTTGGTGTGCCAGCAAGCCAGGATTTTTTTTCCTTCTTTTTGAGACAGGGTCTTACTACATTGCCCATGCTGGTCTCATTTTCCTGACTTCAAGTGATCCTCCTACCTTGGTCTCCCAACATGCTGAGATTATAGGTATGAAGCTACCATGCCCAACATGCTGTAATATTTTTAATTTCTAAAAGCTTTCTTTTCTTTTTTTTTTTTGAGTTGGAGTCTCACTCTGTCACCCAGACTGGAGTGCAGTGGCCGCTCCTGGCCACCGCAGCCTCAACCTGCTGGGCTCAGGTGATCCTTCCGCCTCAGTCTTCCAGGTAGCTGGAACTAAAAGCGCGCGCTACCACGCCTGGCTCATTTTTGATTTATTGTAGAGATGAGGTCTCACCAAGTTGCCCAGGCGGGTCTCGAACCCCGGGCTCAGGCAATCCACTCACCTCAGCCTCCCAAAGCGCGGGATTACAGGCTGAGCCACCAAGCCCGGCTGCTTTCTTTTCTTAAATAGTCTTTTCTTATACAACTGATGAAATATCCCTTATTTTATCTTTAAGGATATTAATTTTTTAAAAGTTGTTGTTCCCTGGCCGGGTAGTGGCTCATGCCTATAATTCCAGTACTTTAGGAGACGGAGGTGAGAGGATTGCCTTAGCCCAAGAATTCGAGACCAGCCTAGGCAACTTAGCAAGATCTTTTCTCTACAATAAGTCAAAAAATTAGCTGGGTGTGATGGAGCATGCCTGTAGTCCCAGCTACTTGGAAGGCTGAGGTGGAAAGATCGTCTGAGCCCAGCAGGTCAAGGCTGTGGTGGCTGTGAGTGTGCCACTGCACTCCAGTCAGGGTGACAGAGTGAGACTCCAACTCAAGAAAGAAAAGTTTTTGTTCCCTATTTCCCAACACTGAGTTGTCCAATTAGGTTCCTTTGTTTTTGTTTTGATCTCTATTATATTGATTTCCATCAAATATCCAGTAATCGTTAATTGTGAGACACTAAAATATTGATTGAAAATGGTGTAGATGGGTATTCAGAGCTAAGGAGGTTTCAGCTAATGTATTTTACTGTAAGTTGATCGAACAGAGATCTGGTTATTTCATTGGAAGATTTCTAAATGTTGTTTTCTCTAAGTCTCCTTCTTCTTATCTTTTTTTGGTAAGTCAGTATCCCAAAAGATGCCTCGTATCTCCTACTTTGGGAATTATAATAAGCAAGGCTACCAGGGCTTTGGGCAATGATATGGGTGAAAGACAAAAAGCCTCACGATATGACTTAATTTCCCTCTCTGTAATCTGTTGTTTTGCTTCTTCTACCTTTGTTTATGCCAGAGTTTAAATTTGGTTCAGTCACTCACTGTAGTGTGTAAACCTTCAGTCTTTGACTTAAGTAGTCCTTCTTCCCACTTACCCTGTTCGGCCAGGAACCTGCAGAATAAACAGCTCCACTGAAAAATTTTAAACTATTCTGGTTTTCGGCACCACCCCATATCTCTGTCTTCAGAGATAATGAGGCCTCCAAATCTAAAGTTCAATAGTACATCATGAACTGATTTGATTCTTAACTTCACTCATCCCATGAAAGGTTTAGATGTCAGCTTTCCGCTAAGATAATTTACCAACCCTTCATTACAATCACTTTCAAGCTTCTAGTTTTGGACATCTCTTATGTCCTATAAAAGACTAAGACTTTGTTGAGTCTTCTTGTCTTTGAGGCTTAAGATTTTTCTTTTCTTTTCATTCCTTTGTCATTTTAGTAGGGTTTGGGGAGGAATCACAGCATTAAACAAGTGCTCAAGTTGC